AGACCTGGGAGGTCTCCATAAATTCCCAGGAGTGTCTACAGTGACCTTGGAGGTGTCCTTAGCTTCCCAGCTCTGTGCCTCGGACCTGTGTGGTCTTCCTGGGTCCCGGTTGTGTCTGCAGAGCTTAGGGTCTTCCTTTCCCCAGGTCAGGCCACACCGTCCTGGGAGGTCTCCCTACTTTCCCAGCGTTGTCAACACTGACCTGGAACGTGTCTAAGACCACAGATGTGACTACTGTGACCTAGGATGTCACTGGCGTTTCTGCTCTAACCTGTGATGTCTCCCTGTTCCCCAGTTCTGTTGATCTTGACATTGGCGGTCTCCTTAATTACACTAGTGCATCTACTCTGACCTACTGATGGTTCCCTGACTCCATGGTATGTCACTGAGAAATGAGGTCTCTTCTTACCTGGCAGGTCTGCATACTTTCCCGTATGTCTCTACTCAGACCTTGGATGTCTTTTTAAATCTCCAGGTAGGTCCGCGCTGACCTGGAGTATGACCCTCATCCCTCACGAGAGTCTGCACTGACCTTGGATTTCTTCCTGTCTCCTCTGGTGTGTCTTCTCTGTCCAGATAGGTCTCCTTCAATCCACTGGTGTGTCTGTTGTGACCTGGGTTGTCTCCTTAATTTCCAAAGTAGATCTCCGCTGACCTTGAAATACTATTTCCCCACGTTGGTCTACACTGACCTGGGAGGTCTCTAATTCTTACTGCGGGTCTTTTGTGACTTGGCATATCTAGCTGTTCCCAAGGAGTGTATATCCTGACCCGGTGCGTAGCCAGAAGTCCGTAGGTGTGCCTCCACTGACCTGGGCTGTCTTTATACTTTCCTGTGTGTGTCTTCTCCGACCGTTATCTCACTAGCGCTCTTACATGACATATGCCCTGGGTGGTCTTTTTCTCCATGTTTGTCTGTCCTAACCTGGGATGTATCTCTGATACCCCAGGGGTATCTCCCCTAGCCCAGGATGACTCCCTAACCCCCAGGTGTTTCTGCCCTCGCCTGGGTGTATCCGTGATCACTTGTGTCTGTATCCTTAACGGGATTACCTTCTAATTCTTTGCGTGTGCTTGCTCTCACCTAGGACGGCACCTCACTTGCACAGGTGTGTCCACTCTGACGGAGGCTCTAACTCCCGGTTTGCGGCCGGTTTCCCAGATGTGTCTCTACTGCCTTGCGAAGTCTCGTTAATTTCCAATTGTGTTCTTCTACGTGGTATGTCTCCCTTCTCCCTAATTCTCCATGGGTCTACTCTGACATAGAAGTCTGAATTTTTCCCTGTTTTGAATCTGGCTAGAATATCCCCCTCGTTCCCCAAGAGAGTCTGCGCTAATCAGTGATGTCTCCCTAATTGAGGGAAGTTTATGTCTAAAGTTCCCTCAAATATCTACGGATGTCCCTGCCTCAGTACGGCAGTTCCCCAAGTGTGTCTACACTGGGATGTGTCTGATTCCTGAAGAGGATGTCCGCGTAATGCCCAGCCGTGTCTGCCCCGGACTGGGGTTCTCCTCAGTTCCCCAGCGTGCCCAGCAGGGCCTCTCTCAGTGCTCGGCTGCTTCTCTCGCGGGGAGGCCTCCTGATTGTCCAGATGGGTCTGCCCACACCTGCGCTGACACCCTTATTTTCCAAGACCGACTTGCCTGAGTTGCTCTCCTCTTGGCAGTGCCCCGGTTGTGGAATCACTGACCTGGGATGTACACCGACGTCACCAGTGACTCTAAGCTGACCTGAGGTGCGTCCCCACCTCACCAGGTGTGACTGTTCTACTAGGACTTTACTGCCTCTCCGGGAGCGTCTTCTCTGAACGGTGATGCCTAATTCCTCACTTGGGAGGTCTTTTCTCTCGTATGGGATGTCTATTTCCCGGGTAGGTCGTCTTTGAACTCGGCGGCCTCCTTACTAACCCAGGTGTGTCTATACTAATTTTCCAGCTGGGTCTCCACTAGCCTTAGATGACCTCCAGTTCCCTAGTCATGTCTGCACCGATTTTGGAAGTATACCGATTTCTTCGGAGGTCTACGATTACCTGGTACACTGCCTGATTTCCCAGTGGCATTAACTTTGAGCTGGCATATTTCCATAATTCCTCAGGTGCATCTACACTGACGTGTCATTTCCCAGGGGGCTCTTCTCTGACTCGGAGGTATCTCTGTTTCTGTGTGTTTGCCTTCTCTTATCTTGGATGTCTTACCACCAAGTGTCTCTACCGTAATCTGGGATGTCCCCTAATTCAAGCATCCACCCTGATCTGGGATGTATCCCAAATTCCTCAGGTATGTCTACCCTGACCTGGGGCATTTCTCTAATTCCCCAGGAGTGTCTACTCTGACCCAGGATATCTATTTCCTAGGTGGATCTAGACTTAACTGGGCTCCTCCCTAATCCCCCAGGTTTGTCTACGTGAACTTATGTCTCCCAAGTTCCCCAGGCAGGTCTACACTGACTTGGAATGTCTCCCTAATCCACAAGGTACTTCTCCTTTGGCCTGGGATTGTCTCTGTCACCAGGTGTGTCCTAGACTCGATTATCTCTTGTTCCCGGGTGTTTCTGTAGCAACCTTGGACAGCTCCCCAGTTCCTCAGGTTTGCCTAAACGGACTTGAGATGTTTCCTTAATACCCAAAGTGTGTCTGTCCTGGCTTGGGATGTCACTCTAGTTTTCAGGTACATCTTCAGTGACCTGGAACGACTTCCTATTTATCCCCTGATCTGGTTGTCTCTCTACTCTGGCGTGTCAACACTCATCTGGGATGTTTAATTCCCTATTTGTATCTGTTCTGACCTAGAATGTCCCACTGATATCCCAGGTATGTCTACACTGACCTGAGAGGTCTAATTCTCCAGGTGTGTTTACCCTGAACCGGGACTTTTCACTAATTCCTCGGGTGTGTCTGTCCACCCAATTATGCCGGTGTGTCAGTGCTGATCTGTGTGGTCTTGCTTTCCAAGCGTGTCTTTGCTGACAAGGAACGTCTTCTCTGTTCCCCTGAAATGTCAACCAGGGATGTCACCCTGACTCCCAGCTGTAACCGTCCTGAGCCGGATTTTCTCCCTAATTCACAAAATGTGTCTATCTATATTTCCCCATATGCCTCTACTGACCTCATAGGTCTCCCTAAAACCCCAGGTGTGTCTACACTGACCTGGGAGGGCTTTTTTGGGTGTGTGTAGTCTGACCAGAGAGGTCTCCTGAGTCTACGCTGAATTGGCCTGTCTCCCTGGTTCCCAACGAATGTCTACATTGTCGCGGGAGGTCTCCCTTAGTCCCCGTGAGTTTCTCTGCTGACCTGGGAGGTCTCGTTTCCCAGCTGGGTCTACTCTGACCGGCGAGGTCTTGTCAACCTGACTTGGGATGTCTCCCTAATTCCCCGTTTTGTCTACGTTGACCTGAGTCGTCTCCCTAGCTCTGCCTACTTTGACCTTCGATGCCTTATTCCCCAGGTTTGTCACTTCTTGCCTGGGATGTCTGCCTGGGTCTCCAGGGTGTCCCCCTACTGTAGGATGCCTTCTCACCCCCCTGCTTCATCTGGTGTATCTGCACCCACCTGGGATGTTGAGTTCTCTAGGTGAGTCTACTAGAAAACTAAAATCCAGAGCGCTTTACTTGAGCTGAGTATTTTACTGAGAAACCAGCATTTTGGAAATGGGGACACATTCAAACGGCAAGTGGCTACGAAGCGGCTCTCAGCTGTCACAGGCCCTTCTGTAAAGCAGGAATGTGCAAGTCCAACACTTTCCATTGTGACTGGAGTTGGTGACTGACATGGCTTTTCAGTGCATCAGCTTACTTGAATATAGCTGATTAGCTGGGAATCTGTAAAGTCATGCTGACTCGAAGAAAGCTCAAGTGTTGTTTAAAATTGGAGTTATTAGCATTTTTGGAATCAGGACAGTTTTGAAATCTGGTTAGGTGACTATGAGTCTGGTATGGGGGCATACCCAACCTGTGGTCTCCATTTGTTTTATTTCTTTTAATGTTTATTTTATTTTTGAGACAGAGACGGAGCATGAGCAGGGGAGGGGCAGAGAGAGAGGGAGACACAGAATCCGAAGCAGGCTCCGAGCTGTCAGCACAGAGGCCCCCAGCGGGGCTCAGACTCATCGACTGCAAGATCGAGACCTGAGCCGGTTGGACACTCAACCTACTGAGCCACCCAGGCGCCCCTCGGTTTCATTTGTCTTTTAAGGTTTATCTTACGTTTTTAAAAAAAAAATTTTTTTCAACGTTTATTTTTGGGACAGAGAGAGAGCATGAACGGGGGAGGGGCAGAGAGAGAGGGAGACACAGAATCGGAAACAGGCTCCAGGCTCTGAGCCATCAGCCCAGAGCCCAACGCGGGGCTTGAACTCACGGACCATGAGATCGTGACCTGGTTGAAGTCGGATGCTTAACCGACTGCGCCACCCAGGCTCCCCAATCTTACTTTTGAGAGAAAGGGAGAGAGAGAGAGAATCCCAAGCAGGCTCCATGCTCAATGTGGATCCTAATGTGGGGCTCGATCCCACAACCCTGAGATCATGACCTGAGCCAAAATCAAGAATTGGACACTTAACTGACTGAGCCACTGGGCACCCCTCCATTTCATTAAAAAAAAAAAAAAAAATCCCTTCCAGGGCTCCTGGGTGGCTCAGTGGGTTGTGTCTGACTTTGGCCCAGGTCATGATCTCATGGTTCATGAGTTTGAGCCCCGTGTCAGGCTCTCTGCTGTCAGTGTGGAGCCCGCTTCAGAGCCTCTGTCCTCCTCTCTGCACCTCTCTTAAAAATAAACATTAACAGGGGCGCCTGGGTGGTGCAGTCGGTTAAGCGTCCGACTTCAACCAGGTCACGATCTCACGGTCCGTGAGTTCGAGCCCCGCGTCGGGCTCTGGGCTGATGGCTCAGAGCCTGGAGCCTGTTTCCGATTCTGTGTCTCCCTCTCTCTCTGCCCCTCGCCTGTTCATGCTCTGTCTCTCTCTGTCCCAAAAATAAATAAACGTTGGAAAAAAAAAAAAAACATTAACAGAAAAACCAGTCCCTTCCCGTCGATCACTCTCCCTGTTGAACGGAGAGCGGCTGACTGTTTAGCATCACGTGACCCTTCTTTGGACACTGAAGATCATGAACCAGAATCTCATTAGGTTCTTCAGCTCGCATGGAGATCACGATTAGTGTTTACTGAAGACTCTTGAAAAGATACACAATAACGGGTATTAACACAAGAAACAGGAGGATAATATCAAATGTCTGGAAAGTACCCCAAATCCAAGATTCCCATTTGCCCAAGTTTAACCACCTGGAAAGATCAAATTGGTTATAATGAGATTGTTTTTACTTTTACAAGTCAATCTGCATTGTTTTTTATAATGTGCAATTGGGTTTTAATTTTTTTTCTGAGTTACGTATGTAGGCACAACATGACGGGGCGCCTGGGTGGCTCAGCCTATTGAACGTCTGACTCTGGATTTCAGCTTGGGTCATGATCCCAGGGTCGTGGGATCGAGCCCGGCATTGGGCTCTGTGCTGACAGCATGGAGCCTGCTTGGGAGTCTCTCTGCCCGCCCCCCACCCCTGCTGCCCTGCCTGTGTGCACACAAAATAAACATTAAAAACCCACAATGTAAAAGTGGTAACAGATTCTTATGTAACTGTAGGTATTCTTCAGTAGATAGACCCACCAAGGGAATCTTGGAGAAATACCTTATAAAGGTAGGCACTCCTAGGCAACCAGGTCAAAATCCCAGATTAGTATAGAAGCACTTTGGGAATTAGACATCCCATCAGTATAGACACACCGGGGGAGTTAGGCAGATCCACTAGGTCAGAGTAGACACATCTGTGTTGCAGGGAGACATTACTGGTCAAGTAGACACATGAGGGGAGTAGGAGTAGTAATGTTGGGGCTTCGAGAGAAATTCTAGGTCAGGGGAGGCAGACCGGGGATGTAGGGACCATCCTGAGAAATACTTATAACTCATCTTGAGAATTATGAAGACACCCCATGTGAGTGTGGACATAGGGAATAAGGTTACAACAAAGGTCAGAAGAGCCACATGGGAAATTAGGTAGACATCCTCAAGTGCAGACCCTCCTGGGTAGAGTTCAGATAAGAGCAGGGGAAAAGCTATGCAGGTACATGTTCACACAGCTGATTATTAAGGAGGCATCGAGGTTTGGCTGACATACAGCAAGGTAAACAGGGAGACATTCCGGGTCAGAGTAGACGGAGCCAGAGAATTCAAGACCTCTGAAGTGATAGAACATACGTGGGGAAACCGGTTTCTCAGATTAGTATAGAAATTCCCGAGGAATCAAGGTGACATCCCAAGTCATGGTATCTTCCCCTGGGGAAACGGGGCCATCTTAGGATAGACGCAACCTGGGATACTAGGGAAACATCCCTGGTCAAAAGAGATGCACTTACTTTGTAAGAAAGTAGACATGCCCCATCTGTGTAGACACATCTGAGTTATTAAACAGATATCCCGGTAAGGGTAGACATACCTGGGGAATTAAGGAGACATTCCAGGTTACTGTAGACATTCCACATCAAAATAGAAACAGAGGGGAACTCAGGGGACATCACGTATCAGGGTAGACACATCTGGGGACCCGGGGAGAGCCTGGATGGGGGAGAGATTCCAGATCAGGCTAGACACAGTGGGGGGTGGGGGTAGCAGTGTGACATCCTAAGTCAGGGAAGACCCTTCCCTAAGTTAGGGAGGGATCCCAAGTCAGGCTGACCTACCTGGTGCATTAAAGGGTCACTGTAATCAATGCAGACACACCTGGGGACTTAGAGACATCACAGATCAGAACACATGGAGAGATAGGGAGATACCTCAGGTCACTGTGAACACACTTGTGGAGTTCGGGAGACTTCACAGGTCAAGGTGGATGACCTAGGGGAAACAGCCCTTCGTGAACAATACAGACACACCTTGGTAACTAGGGACACCTCCCAGGTGAGATTAGACGCAACTGGGAATAAGAGAAAGAGCCGAAGTCTGTGTCAACACACCTGAGGAACGAGACCTCCAGATTCACAGTAGACACGGAGAAGGACAAAGGCATACGTCTCAGGATACGCTGGACAGTCCTGAAGAACGGAGATGTTCAAGGTCCAGAGAGAGAAATCTGGAGAATGAGACATCCCAGCTCAGAGGAGACACTCCTGTGGAGCCAAGGAGACCTCTTTGGTCGGAGTAGAAATACGTGGGGAAACGGGTTGTCCCAGGTCATAGATTCACCATGGAATTAGACACCTCAGTCACGTTAGGGTAACCGGGGAGATACACCGTGTCAAGGCGGACACTTACGACGAAGCAGGGAGACAACCCAGGTCAGAGGAGACACACTTGGGGGGTTAGGGAGACCACAGATCAGAGTAGACATGCCTGGGAGACCAGGGAGATCTCGTAGGTCAGCTGGACACGGGGAATGTGAGACATTCCGATGCAGGGTAGGCCTGCCTGAGGAATTAGGGAGAGATCCCCGCTCAGACATACACCACTGGGGTTTTATGTGAACGAAAAGGTCAGCGTAGACACTCCTGCAAAACCAGAGGGACACCACACCTCAGTATGGACACACCTTGAAAATTTGGGACACATCCCGGGTCAGGATAGACCCAGCTGGGGTTTTAGGAAGCCATCCCTGTTCAGCGTGGACACATCTGTGGATTAGACATCCCAGGTATGAGTAGACACGTCTGAGTTTGACATCTCAGATTACGGCAGGCACAACTGGGGAACCAGGGAGGCTCCAGGGCAAAGTGGCCACACCTGAGGTGTTAGATGTTCCGGGTCAGAGTGGACATGCCTGAGATACTAGATCAAGTGGAGACATCCAATGTCGAGGCAGACACAGCTGGGAATCTATGGAATCATACTAGGTTAGTGTTGACACACTTGGGGAATTAAGACCGCTCAGGTCAGCGTAGACATAACTGGTATATTACAATAAAATACCGCTTTTTGTAGACACATCTGGGGAACTAGTCAGCGGTCCAGGTGAGCTGAGATAACATCTCAGGAGTCGTGGAGACCCTGAAGGTCAGGGTGGGTGGACTTGGGGAAGTAAGCAGACGTGCTGCATCAGAATACAACAGAGCAGAGAGGGGACTTCCAGAGTGGTACCAATAAACACGAGACCTCTCAAGTCAGTGGACACACAGAGGAGGAATTACACATCCCAGGTCAACACCTAAAGAGTTAGCGAGACAAACCAGGTCACGACAGAAACATCTGGGATTAGAGATTCACTCGTGCCCATGTGGACACAACTGGGCTCTAAGGGGATGGACCAGGTCAGAGAAGATACAGGAATTTTCAGAGATAATACGAGTTTAGGGTAGACACACTTGGAGAACAAAGAAAACATTTCAGGTCAGGGTAGAAACACCTGGGGAGTTAGGGGGCTATCCAATGTCACTGAAGACACACGTGGTGAATTAGGGACACATCCCAGGTCAGTCACAATTGATGATAAGGTATATCTCAGGTCAGAGAAGACACTTCTGGTTATTAGAGAGATAAAATCAGGGAGGGCACCCCTGGGTGATTGGGGGACACCACCTTTCAGGGTTCACACACAGGATTAGGGATACATCTCTGAGTGCGTACCAGAGTAGGCACACTCAGAGAATTAGAGAAACCCTACAGGTCTCTGTATTTCAAAGACCTCATTGATCAGGGTACATACAGAATAAGGGTCACCTCCCAGGTCAGAGTAGACATACCTAGAGATTTAGGGGAATATCCTTGATCAGTGTAGACCCACGGGAAAATTGGCAGACTTCCAACGTCGGGGCAGTCAAACCTGGAGAACTGGGAGACACCCACTGTCAGTATACACGCCCTCGGTGACTAGGGACATATACTAGATCAGGTTAGACCTAACTGGGGAACTTTGGAGACATCCCAGCTCAGGTATACTTCCCAGAGGAACCTGAGGTACAATCCAGATCAGGGCCACCACGCTTAGGGAACTACTATGGATGTAGTTCACATCAATGTCGTTAAAGTAACCAGATTACGTCCAAAATGGAGTCACTAATGTTAAGCCCCGTGTCAGCAAACCAAAACTTACGTTTCTATGCTCTGCTCTCCCTGAAGAGGAAGGCCTAGGTCAGCCAATCAGCTCTCACCTGCTCCGCACAAGGTACCCGACCTGCTCCGAGACTTCCCTGGGGCCCATATAACAAGAGTAACCATGCTTACCCATCAGCAGATGCCCAGTGAATCTGCCCGTTCCTGCTCACGTGGTAAGAATCTCGTGCGTCATGCAGCTCTTTGGTGCTCCTTTCTATCGCTAGGTTGCAGGCTGCCTGACTCATGAATCACTAAATAGAAGCCAGCTAGATCCATAAGTTGACTAGAAAATGTTTTCTCTGAGAGAGAGACACAGACTCCGAAGCAGGCTCCAGGCTCTGAGCTGTCAGCACAGAGCCCGACGCGGGGCTCGAACCCACGAATGGGGAGATCATGACCTGAAGTCAGATGCTTAACTGAGCCACCCAGGCGCCCCCCAAATTTTCTTTTAACAGTGTTGATGACAAGGATGGGATTCAAAGACTGCTAATGGCTTTGGGGATGACAAGAAACGTGGGCATGGGTGCCTGCTGAGCCCTTTTTTCTTGGTCTTTCTCATGTTTCCACAGCCGCGGGGAAGTTCCTCTTGGATCTGAGCTCTACTCCGTTTGCGTTTGAGCTCCCGGGTCTGATGGGCTTTTCTTTTCCTGGCCAGGATTTAGTGGGCCAGCTGGAGCTGGCGGGTGGTTCTACGTGGACCCGAAGCCCCTAAGCCCTGCGTTATCCACAGTCTTGACGTGTTGGGTTCTGCTGGTGGGCCCACCATTCCACTTGGGGAACTACTGGCGGTCTTGGTGTGACCCTAAGGTAAGAGCGACAGATCTGCCAGACAGACACCGAGGAGACATGAGACCTAAAGTTCTAGAGAGCTGAGAGCTCCATATTCTTGTGCCCCAGCTCTTTATATGGGAAGTGGGGTTCCGGAGCGCATACACAGTGGCAGAAATGGCAGCATCTAAGGGCAGCCCTGAATCACAGCGGCCGTGGTCGGAAACCCGTGACCTAGACCAGCTTGTCCAGTTACAAGTTCTCAGCCAAGAACGCACTAGAAAGGGCAGAGGGAAAATTAATTTTTCCTCGTCTACAGTCTCTGGTGACCCAGAGGAGACCCACTGGGACACCGCACCCGCTCCGGAGCCTACACGCAGGACCCTGAGGAAGCGGAGAGGCCAGCAGAGAGAGTGGGGTCAAGTTTCACGTTGTCTCTTCCCTTTCAAATCCAGACTGTTGTGAATTTGGTTTGGGGATCCCCTCTGGTCACTGACCCTCTCCCTCCCAGGGACAGCTCCTGCTTTCCTATTTGTCTTGCTGTGTGTCCCGGGCCTCTGGCTTGGCTTTCTGCCTGTCTGGGGCTTGCAGGCTGTGCATTCTTGTAAGTGCAAGGTCAGGGGCCCCGAGAATATGGCTGGCCTGAGATACGGGTTGCACCCCCTTTGTGGCTGCCATCCTACTGACTGTTGCCAGCTCTCAGGGGAACTTTCTAGATCTTGCCTATCTTTGGGAGTAGCTCTGGGTCTTGGGAAGACTAAATCTTTTGCACCCTCCTAGGACATGCATCTCGAGTCCGTGGATATGTCATAAAAGGCTTATTAGTTTTGCTTGAGTAACTTGATCTACCTTTGGTTTAAAAGAAGCCAAAAAAAAAAAAAGTGTACTATTGCCAGGCATATTTACTGTTTATCTCCGCTAAAACCTACAAATAAGATATTTGGAAGGATTTTTATAATGAGCTCCAAGGTCATAAGTTGGCCAAATTGGAAGCTGATATTAAAATCCCAATGAAGGAGGACACAGCAATCAGACAAGACAAAGGAATAAAAGGCATCCAAATTGGCAAGGAAGAAGTGGAACTTTCACTACACAGACGACACGATACTATATAGAGAAAACACTACAGACTCCACAGGAAAACTTAGAACTGATAAGTGAATCCAGTAAGGGTACAAGATACAAAATCAGTGTCCAGAGTGACACCAGCATCACGGCAGCATAAGGCACCTCCTTTAACAACCGGGGCGCCTGAGTGGGTCAGCTGGTTCGGCGTCCGAATTCGGCACAGGTCATGATCTCATAGTCTGAGTTCCTTGGGGTTCTAATGAGACATCCCATGTCAGTGCATCCCATTCCCATGGGGAATAAGAAGCATTCCACTTGACCGTTGGCACATTTGGAGAATTATCTTCTGACTCTGAAGAGAAAGGCAGACGTAGCTGAAGAATGCACAGACTACGTCACTGTAGATACAACTGGGGAATTAGAGTGACTTCCCTTTTCGGTGTCCACGCACCTTGAGAATTAGGGAGACACACCTGGGTTATTAGGGACACCAGTGATGTCAGGGTGTCTATACCCAGGGAACTGGGTAACGTCTCAGGTCAGGTAGACTCACCCGGGGAACTAGCAGGACATCCCAGGTCAGGGTAGAACTCTGGGTTACTTTGAGACATCGGAAGTCAGAGTATTCATATCTGGGGATTAGGGAGACACTCAGGTCAGAGTAGAAGCATCTGGGTAATTAGAGAAATATCCTAAGTCATGGTAAACACATCAGGGAATTAGCAAGAAATCGCAAGACAGAAAACACATCCATGGAATAAGAGAAACGTCTCAGGTCAGTGTCAACACCTATGGAATTCGGCAGACAGATCAGTGTGTGCACTCGGGAAGTAAGAGAGAGCCCAGGTGTGAGCACGTACACGTGGGGACTAGGGAGACATCCCGGTAAGGGAAAGCCAACCTGGAGAATAAGGAACATATCCTAGGTCAGAGGAAAAACACCTGGGAATCGGCAGCAGCATTTCATGTCTGGGTAGATAAACCTGGGGCATTAGAAATCTAGTTCGGTGAAGACACAAAAGGGGAATTGCGGAGACATCCAGGTCAAGTTAGACACATAACGCAGAATTAAGGAAACATCAAGATCAAAACAGACTCCACTATGGAAGTAGGTAGACATCCCAGTTCAGAGCAGACACACTCGAGTCAGGCACACATCCCACGTCTGGGTGGACAGATCGACGGAAGTAAAGAGATGTCCCGGGTCAGGGGACACGTACCTGGGAAATTGGAATCAGGCTGTGGCACACACCTGGGGAAATAGGGCGGCCCCCCGGGTCCCTCAATACATGCCTGGGGAGTTAGGGTGTCCCAGGTACAGCAGGCACCTGGCTAGAAGGGAGACATCCCAGTTCAATGGAGATGCACCTGGACAATTACAGAGACATCCAGGGTTGCCAGAGAAAACACACTGGGATTTAAGGAGACATCCTAACGGTGTGTAGACCTACTTGGGGTATTAGGGAGACATCTTATGTAAGGATAGGCACATCTGCATTATCAGCAGGTCACAGATTAGATAAACCCGGGGAGCTAGGCGGTTTCCCCTTGGGGTAAATAAGCTCAGAGAGAGAAGTATCCAGGGCAGAGGAGACACACCTGGGAAATTAGGGAAACGTGCCATGTCAGTGTGTGGACCTCAGGTCGCTGTAGATACGCCCAGAGGACAACGAATCACTTCGACTCAGAGGGGATGCCCTAGGTTCACGGAGACCTACCTGTACACTTAGCAAGACTCTGTGTGTCCAAGGAGACACATCTGGGGAATTAGACACTGCTGTTCGGGGCAAGAGCACCTCGAGTGCTGGGGAAATATTCCCGGTCGGAGACACACCTGGGGAGAGCGGTCCACTTCCCAGAAGAGGCACTGAGTTAGGGAGGCTGCCTGCCATGCGAGGGCGGACACACCTGGGGAGGGAGCCCGCAGATTAGTATGGACACACTTGGGGCATAAGGGAGACTCCCGGCTCAGATATACGTACATGGGAATTAAAGAGCCCGGTTCAAATTGCTTTTTCCAACTTTGAGGCGTAACTGACACATTAAATCTAAGTTTAAGGCATACGATGACGATATGAAGCCCATATATATTGCAGAATGATTAGTGCGAGCTTAATCAGCGTCCATCAGAGTGACGACAGCATCGCGACAGCTGTCAATAAGCTCCTTTAACAACTGGGGCGCCTAGATGGCTAGGTCAGTTAAGCGTCCGACTTTGACTCAGGTCATGATCTCACGGTTTGTGAGCTCGAGCCCCACGTCGGGCTCTGTGCTGACGGCTCGGAGCCTGCAGCCTGCTTCGGGTTCTGTGTCTCCCTCTCTCTGCCCCTCCCCCACTTGCACTCCAGGTCTCTAAAAAATACACATAAAAAAAGGTATTTCCTTCAACAACTAAAATTCAGCTTCCATCTCCAAACTTACATGCGTCCGTGGGAGCCATGTGATCCAGCACCTGACGCAGGTTGCCTGGGAGGGTCTCACCACCATGCTTTCGGCAATGGGCAGGCAGACCATGGTACAGGCTTTGTCACTGGCGGGACCCTGTGAGCCGGCTCTGGTCCCTCTCAGCTGCAGTCTGGGGGCGGCTGGATAATGCTGATGTGGGCAGACCACCCATGGGCGAGATAGCCTTTGTAGCAACCCAGGTTTCTAGAGAAGTTCCAGCATTCTGTTGGAAAGAAAACGTTACAGCAGCACCCCTCCCCCAAGGTGGCAGAACTCAGAGACACGGGCGGCATCTCTCCTGCAGGGGAAAGGGCCAGTGGTGACAGCCTCGCTTCCCCCGCTATGCAGGAGGCTGCTAAAGAAACGCATTTTTCTCTTGCAATGCCCAGGGCGTTAAAGGGGCTTTGTGATTGGAGGAAGGAGATCAGAGATGAGGTCATAGTATCAGAGAGCCTTAAAGGGATGCTGTTTCTGTTGACTGCATTCTGGACTCCAACACGGAGCCTGTCACAGCCCCTGGGAAAACCTCATCTTCGGAGCCCTCCACTGGACTGTGGGCACCCTCAACACCTGAGTGTCAAAACTCACACCGCCCACCCCACCCTGTGTGCACTCCCAGGGCAGCAGGAGACAAGCTCGGGTAGACGGGGAGCACCCACGGAAAACAGGCCAGCGCGTGGGGGAAAGTGCAGTCCTGAGCCGTAACACCACCTTCAATAAAGCAAAAGAGAGGTTTCTAACAGTTGGTCTGGTGTGTTGTAAGATCAGGGGAAGACCTATAAGCTTAGGAATTCTGCCACAAGAGGGATCAGGAAGCATGGAGCAGGTGTATCCATGGGAGGTTGGAGAAAGCCACAGAATCTGTATAGTGGGGCCATCAAAAAGTGCCCCCCAACTGAAGGCAGCTGGTAAAGATCGGAGGGGTGACTGCTACATCAATGTGAAAGCAGCAACACAAAACTCAAAGGAAAATAAAGAACCAAGGAAACATGACATCACCAAAAGATCCCTCATTTATCTTCCAGTAACTGATCCCAAAGACAGGGAGGACATCTGTGACTTACATGACAAAGAATTCAACATAGCTCTTTTGAGGAAGCTAATGAGCTACAAGTAAACACAAAGAAATTCAATGAAATCAGGAAAAGCACACATACACAGAAAGAGAAATTTAACAAAGAGAATCATGAGAAAGAACTAAACAAATTCTGGAGCTGAAGAAGTCAGTGAATGAAATGAGGGGGTGAAAGAGAGGGTATTATCACCAGAACAGACCAGAAAGAAGAAAGCCATCAGTGAATATAGGACAGGAGCTTTGAAACAGCCCAGAGAACAAAGAAAAGAAGCTAAGCGCATATGTCATCTGTGGAACACCATCAAAAGAGCCACCGGTATCGCTGGGGTTCCAGAAGGACAAGAGAGGAAGAAGGGGGATGGAGGTCTATTTGGAGATCTCATGTCTGAGAACTTCCCAGACCTGCAAAGAGACTTGGACATTCAAGTTCATGAAATTAACAGATCACCTCATTATTTCAAGGCAAAGCAATCTCTCCCAAAACACATTATAATGAAGCTGTCAGAAATCGAAGGTAGAATCCCGAAAGCACAAGAGGAAAAAAGAGTAATCTACAAAGGAACCCACACTGGAGATCTGTGGATTTCTCAGCAGAAACCTTACCGACCAGGAGAGGGTGGATGACACATTCACAGTGCTGAAAGAAAAAAAAGGCCAGCCAAGAATACACTATCCAGTGAAGCTGTCCTTCGGAAATGAAGGCAAAAAAATAAAATAAAAAGTTCCCAGACAAACAAAAGCTGGAAGAGTTCATCACACTGGACCCTCCTTACGAGAAATGCTGAAAGGAATTCTTGCAGCCGAGGTGAAGGGATGCTCATCAGTGACACAAAAACATACAAACATATGGAACACACTGGAAATGGTAAATATACAGTCGGATGAAGAAAACTAATTCTGTAATTCGATAGTGTGTTAATAAAGGCTAAAGGACGAAAGTATCAAAAATAATTACACCTACTGTAATTTGTTAATTAATACACAATACACAAAGAAGTAAACGGGGCATCTGGGTGACTCAGTTGAGCATCCGATTCCTGGTTTCGGCTCACGTCATGATGCCAGGGTTGTGGGACTGAGCCCTGTGCGAGCCTGCTTAGGATTCTCTCTCCCTGCTCCCTCCCCCTGCTCACATGCTTTTTCTCAAAACAAAAAGAGGTAAACCATGACATTAATGTAAAAAAATGCGACAGTAATATAAAAAGAGGGAGCAAAAGGGCAGAGGTGTCCCTACCAGTGTAAGTTGACCAGTTTATCTACTAGGTGTTTTATGTAAGCCTCGTGTAATCATAAAGCAAAAACCTAGTGGAGCGTCACAAAGATAAAGACAAGGGAACCCCACCATGGAGTATCCCCAATCCACAAAGGTGGGGAAGAAGACAGGAAGAAAAGGAACTATGGAACCACAAACAGCCGGAAAACAGTAAGATGGCACAGGAAAATCCTTACCTGTCAAAGGTTATTCAAAATGTAAATGGGTTGAATTCTTCAATGAATTGGCACAGGGTGGCTGAATTAAAAACAAACAAGACCCAACTACATGCTACCCACAAGAGACTCGCTCCTGCCTTAAGGACACACAGAGGCTCGAAGTGAAGGAAAGAGGGGGCTCTTCCATGAAGTGGAAGCCACAAGACGAGAGGGCAGCTCTACTCACGTCAGATGAAATAAACTTTAAGCCCCAACAGTAAAATACAACAAAACTCATTACATGAGGATAAGGGGATCAACTCATTAAGAAGATGTAACAATTATATATATGCACTTATTACTGGAGCACCTACATGTATTAAACAAATGCTAACAGATCTGAAAGGGGAAAAAAGACAACACAATAGTAATAGACTCTAATAGCCCACTTTCGGCCATGGATATAGATCATCCAGACAGAAAATCAACAAGGAGACATTGGACTTGAACCATACATTAGACCAAATGGACCTAATAGACATTTATAGAACATTCTAGCTACAGCAGCAGAATGCACATTTTTCTCAAATACACACAGAACATTCTCCAGGGCAGGTCATATGACAGGCTGCAAAACAAGTCTTAGCAAATTTAAGAAGACTGAAATCACACCAACTCTATTTTCCAACCACAGTGT